AAAATAAATGTAAAATTAAAAAATTGGTTTATAATAAAAATTTTTTAAAAAGAAAAAAGCTTTAAAAAGGAGATATTTTTTTTTAAAAAAACAGATCTTTTTATACAATTATTGTTACATTAATTTCAAATATCTGTAAAACAAAAGTATGCAAGTATGTATATATACAATAATACTCATTAATTTTGATTGTTAAAATTAAAAACTTGTTATAAAAAAATGAATTAAAACAATAATACATATCCTTTGTTTTTACTAAATACATTTATAGAAACACATTATTATATCAGCTAAAAAGTAAATATAATTAATTTGGTTTTATTTTTTTTTAAAATTAGAAATTTCAATTAAAATAAAAATAATAATACAATTCTTTTTGAAAATACCACTCTAAAATAAGTTTAGAAATTAAAAAAAAGAGATAATTTCTTTAAAGAAAGGAAAAAAGAAACTTGTTAATATTCTTAAAACAACAAAAAAAAATTCAAAATTCCTTTCATATATCAAAAAAAAAAAAAATCTTAAATCTGAGTTTAAAGGCTGAGTACATTTGAAAGCTGAATTTGAAATGAATTTTAAAAAAATAAAATCAAGTGAAGTTTGAATGGGATGGAGTTTGAAATAGCGGAGATTTAAAAATATAATAAGGCAAAGTTTGAAATGACAGAATTAAAGATGAGGGACGAAACTCAAAAAAGGCAATTAATAAACAGCCGAAACAATATTAAAACATAGTGAGGGGTACGACGAAACCCTGAAACCTGAAATTAGCCGAAACTATATTAAAAACATAGTAAGGGATATGATGAAATTATTTAGAGGGAGTTTCGGCTGGCATCTTTATCTTCAAAATATATCCCTAGAGTCAGCTATAGGCGAATAACACATCCCAATTGTGTACACCAGTGCGATATACTATTTCTTACTCATGATTACTATAGAGGTAAAAAATATAAAGCAGTACTTAACATTATAGACTGCACCTCCAGATACAAGGCCTCAATTCCTTTTAAATCGAAGAAAAGTTCTGAAGTTGCTAAAGCATTCAGGAGAATATATAGTAATTGAAATAATCCTCTTACATATCTTAAATTACTTTAAACAGATAACGGGTGGGAATGGATGGGTGAAACATCTCGATTGATGCAAGAGCATAATGTAATAATTCGAGTAATTGGCCCATATAGTCATAGAGGACTTGCTTTTGTGAAGCGTTTCAATCAGACACTCTCAAAAATTCTATATAAGATCCAATATGCTGTTAAGTCTATATCTTCTGATCTTAGATTAATAAGAGTGTGGGTTAGGTATTTACCAGAAGCTATTGATTATCTGAATAACTACCCCACACGCCTTATTTAAGAACCAGGATCAGAAAAGTGTGAACTCAAGCCTGTGAAAGCTATTGTATTAGAATGAGTCGAATCTAGATCATCTACAAAATATAAGTGTCCAGTTGGAAAAGATGAAATAGCATTAAAGAAAGGAGATACTGTCCGCTACCTACTTGCCAATGCAGAATGAGAGGGTAGAATGAAGAATCAGAAAAGGGCTATATATCCTACTTTCTCACCTTCTATTCATAAAATTTAAAAAGTTATTGTCATAAAGAATAAGCCAGTATTATATTATCTCAAAGGTGATGGATTTGCACTATCTCGCAGATTTATGCGAGAAGAACTCATGTTAATAGTTAATCCAGAAAAAGTTGAGTATTCACCTCAAAGTATATTATTCGTAAATTTCGTTCATGCTACTCCTATCAATGGTGAGTTAAACCAAGCCATTGGTTATGTTCAAAGATGTGGTGGTCAATGTCTAGGAAAGACTAGAGAAATAATAGACATAATGTATATCTTTGGTCTTGTGAGGATGATACACACCAGTGGGAGTATCAATTAAAATAGATCATGAAGAAATTCGAGTGGTACCCTCTTTGTTACCATACTAGCGAAAAAATGTATGTTATATTTTTGAAGATCTACTAGGCAAGAAATTTCCATCACATAGGCTGAATTTTTTGGATGGAATGCAACTCAATGGGTATAACGAAGAACTACAACTAGCATTCAAATTCCATGGTCAGCAACATAATAGTCTTAATTTAATGTTTCATAGAAGAGGCCAGAAAGATTTGGATGAACAGAGAATGCGTGATCAGAAGAAGCGGGATATATGTAAAGAGCAAGGTATATGTCTTATTGAAGTTCCCTATATAGCTGATCTTCTATCCTATATCAGACATACTCTAATCGAAAAAGGTTTCTTGAAAGAGGCAAAGAATTAAAAGGAATTATTTTAGTATATCATTAATAATACTCCATTTGATATGAAAATAAATAAACTTAAACCAGTTGATAGGCTTGTATATCACATCAACAAGATTAAAAATGCCAAAAAATATAACAGACATTTGAGTATTCTCCAATGGTCTTTTACTTTACTAATTTGTGGTTGTACTAATTCAGGAAAAACTAATAAGGTTCTCAATCTCATGCTCGGAAATAAGCTTTATCGAATGTTTAATGGAAAGAAAAGAGGGACACGCTATATTAAGTGTGTTGATTTACTACTCATCGGCATAATCTTAAGGAGCCAAAATATAGATATCTCAAATCAGCCTATCAGATAATTGCAAATAGCCTAAAACCATATTGTGAAAATATTACATTTCGAGCAATAAAACCTGATAAAATACCTAAAGTAGATTCATTTTCTCTAGATAGATATATAGTGCCCATATTTGAAGATGTATGTGCTGATCTGAAAAAAGTGCAGGAGAAAATCATCCCTTATTTTGTTGAGGAACGCCATTACAACATCAGTTTGATATATGTATCCCAGAATTACTTTGATTGCCCAAAAATAATACGAAAAAATCTTATACATGTCTGCCTATTTAATAGGTTGTGCATCACAGATAAGCTAGTCAGAATTGTGCATCAATATGCTAATGATTGACGTAGTGTGATTAAGATTATTGATAAGACATTATGTGAGAAAAAATTCATTGTTTTCGATCTAACTGTATCTCGTGAGCATCTACACAAGATACGGGTCGGTTGGGATCAAATTTTTAAAAAAGATGTCCAAGCTAGTGAGTAGAAATTCTTTTGGCTTAGCGCTACCTCAAAGGAATTGATGAAGTGAGACGAAATGTATATTTTTTTGGGGCTTCTGGGTCATATTTAGATTCACTACACCTTTTCGTCCATAATTTCCTTTCATAAGTGCTGGAATATATTTCCAGTTCTATAGTTATATCACTATATTTTGTGTAGTAAGAGATCTGATCAACCAGAGTGATAATTTTTCTATCTTTAGCGGAAATAATATCCTTCAGATATAGGCATTTATCCTCTAGCATGTCAATATACTTTTCAGCTGATACAATAGCTTTTTTTGTATCAGGAATTATACTTTTTAAAAAGGATACTGAATTTGATAATTGGGTGACTTTCTCGCCACTCTCTTCCAAAGGCCTGGTCATAGCTACCTTACGAGACTTATACTGCTCTTGCAAATCGAAAAGCTCTTCAATCTTTCTTTCCAATACCTGCTTTAATATATACAACTCCTCATTTTCTTACCTTAATGAAGTTTCAGAGTCACTAGTAATAGGCTTCATCTTCTGATACTTTTTTTTCTTAATATAATTTTTAACTACTTTATTTAATAAATCTTCCAATTCAGGGTGAATACTACTTGCCTATTCTAGCGATAATGGATATTTTCAAGATGTAAGACGTCATCATATATCTATTTTGATAGATCGAAGAAGTTGGTTAAGTTGCTTCAAGTAATATATATGAAAAGATGGTGTTAATATGCTAGTCATTTCTTATAGATAATAAAAAATTCTAAGAATTAAAGAATTCTGCGTATTTAGGAAAGGAAATTTAAAGAGTTTAAAAATAAATTCACGCATCAGTTTTGTGATACCAATCTGGCAGATTGGCTAGATATATTAGCTGATCAAGAATTTTACGTGACATTCTGATCATTGGTTAGCAAAAAATCATGTGATTTTGACTGGGGTCCTGGCTGAAAATTGTCAAGAAAATTTTATTATCTGATGCATTTACTTTATTAATAATAAAAAAAATACATGTATTGAATCTCTACTCTATAAATTTTTGGGAGTTGAAACTGTTACTACCATTTCACTAGAACTATGCTTACTATCTCCAGAATCAAAATCATATAATATCTTGTGAATTGAATATGCTACAGATGTCCTCAATGTCAACAAAGTATAGATAAGTAGATATATAACGCTTAGTGAAGTTATATGCAACAGAATTGTTGCCTTCTCTATTAGACAGTATTTATAAATTCCTGATTCTTTTCGCATAGCATAAAGCTCTATAACATCACCTAGAAATAAATAAGGTAGAATATAAACGATTTATAATTATATAAAAAAATAGAAAGTAATTTATGTTTACCTGCAATATTAATAGTAAATATGGTCAGATTCTGCCTCTTGGATAATTGATTAAATATCTTTTTAAGATTTTTTATGCTCCTTATAGTGTCAATAGAATTCTTAGAAAAACGTATTAATTTTTTGTGATCACAAATCCACTTATCTTGATTGGAATTAGGTCTACCGGTCTCAAGATAAATAATTTCAAGTTTAGAATTTTTTTCTAACTAGATTATCATCATATAATCGGCTCTTTAGGCAATTTTACGAGAATCTTTTCGTATAGCACTAGCTAGACTTCCTTCTTCTCCCCTTAATTTAGAAAACATATTAATTAAAACAAAATATATGATAATGGTGTATCTTTCAAGTTAAACCTATCATATGTCACACGCTATTGGTTTTCCTGGTAAATCACTCATCACTATATTTATCAATGGTGCGAGAACTTCACAAACATACAATCCTTCATTTATTGATTTTTCCTTCTTTATATATGCTTCATATTTAGGTGATTTCCAAACTTTGAGCCTATAATTATTTATTAGTTAATAAGCCCTTTTTTTCAAATTCATAAAAAAGAAAATATATCCTGAATAGATTGGCTATCTCCTGCAGATGCATAGCATCAAAGGGGGAATTTGTACTTATATTGATTCTAACATCAGTTTTGCTAAATCTTGTAATTCCTCAGATTTATCCAACCATTCTCCATAATTAATATTACCCAAAACCTCATCCATATTAATTTTCGATTCCTCATTCTGGATAAATTCTTTATATGCTTCCATTATATCATGATTCTGTTCTAACTTATATTTTTGAAATGATTCCTTAAAAATATCACAAACTAACTCTGATATATCTGTAAAGGGTTCTGACTTGATATCTAGAACACCTAAATAAATCGGATGATCGAATCTAAGGTTCTTCACATTTATTTCCTCAAGTTCTATTTCTATTTTCTCCCACATAGTTTTCTTATAACTAGTACTCTCACTTATACATCGACTAATGTCATGCTTCAGAGATCGTAAATTTGTATTTGTATCTTCACACCAGGCTTCGATATCAATTACTAATGCTTCCATTTCTGAGAGTGAGCATAGATCCTCAAATGCTATCACAACCTAAGAACATATTTAAAATTAGTATCTCAAGGCTAGTTTAACAAATAATTTAATTTTACATCACAAGATCAGATTAGGTTTCCATTTTCATAAAGTTTCAAGTGTCAGCAAAATATCTGATATGTATCATATGATATACAACTAGTTACTACTGTGTAGGAAGTAATAATATTACAATGGACATCAGCCTCTTCGCTAGTGGTTATACCATACTAGAAAACCTAAAAATACAATTCATCATATCCATATATTTATCATAAAATAATTCATCACCATATCCGTTTTACCAGTTTTTTTCCAGTACTAAAACTTCGAAGCTTCTTTACCTGCTCAATATCCTCTAAAGGGACTTGTTTTAAAACTCTTTGCAAAACTTGTTCAAAGTTCTCTACTTCCTTTTTGAGAATGCCTGTCCATTCACCTTTCTCTACTCATATAAACAATGCTATGGAAATTCTGACGATATCAAGGGGTTCTCTTGTTAAAAGGAATTCTTCCATATTTTGATAAAATAAAAGTTGAATGTTAGTATAA